AACCTGACAGCACTATTGTTTGGCAGGCCTGGGCCGGATTTCAACCTGTCAGCCCCAGTGAATGTGGCCGGTGCCCTAGCCACTGAGCTACAGGCGCCGAGCCAAGGCAAAATTTCTTATTGTCCATGAAAATATATATTGGAAAATAGAGATTCTTGGTTCTGGAAATTTTATTTCCAGGTTTTAAAATGAAACCACTCTCTCTCATTCTAAGGGAGTGTAAGCTATGACTCTTATTTTAGGCTTTAAAGGTTTTGACAGGTTATTTCTTGCATGACTCTTATGTGTGGGTATTTTTATATTTAAAGTTTATCTAGGGCGACGCCTATGGCTCAGTGGGTAGGGCGCCAGCCCCATATACCGAGGCGGGGCGGGTTGGAACTTGGCTCCAGCCAAACTGCAACAAAAAAAATAGCCAGGCATTGTGATGGGCGCCTGTAATTCCAGCTACTCGGGAGGCTGAGGCAAGAGAATAACCTAAGCCCAGGAGTTGGAGGTTGCTGTGAGCTGTGACGAAGGCAACAAAGTGAGACTCTGTCTCAAAAAAAAAAAAAAAAGTTTATCTTACTAGTAAATTTTTGAGGTGTACTTAAAAGTGGGTATGAAACCATTATCACAGAATTTTCTATTTGAAGCAGTTGCTGAAGTATAATTTTGAGAATGTTGTATTTTTCTTTGTTTAATTCTTCTTGCAAATATTTCCTTGCCTGTTTAATTTACAGAACTTCCTCCCAAGTTCATTTAATGAAATTTTCACCAGATGGAGAATTTTTTGCCACTGCTGGGAAGGTAAATTGTGAATATGCTATTGCCAAATTGTGTGTTTATAGTTTACTTTGAAACTTTAAAAACAATAACCAGTTCCAGTCTTTTATTTATTAAACTTGAAAATAATATTTTCTATTAAAATATTAAATAGCAAAAATTGTTGTGTCAAAGGCAGTGTGGTATAATTGAAATGACACAGAGACAGATCTGAGTGTATACCATTTACCAGCGTTATTATCTTGGGCAAGTTAGTTAATCTCGGTAGTCTTTTCTTATGCATAACATGTGGATAACAGCATCTATTATATCTCATAAATCATTAATCGTGGGGTAAGACGGGATATACAGTGTTGAGTTACAGTGCCTTACATAGAGGATAACCGGTAAACTATAGCTTATATCATCTTTTAGCTGATATGTATATTAGGCTGTATTTAAGATAAAAGACTATATATAGGCTTTCTAGGACATGTTATTTCTTATAGTGTAGGCACTTTGTTATTATCTGTTGATTTCAGAACAATGTATTTCTTTGAAATTATTATTATTATTTTGCAGAGACAGAGTCTCACTTTATTGCCCCTGGCAGAGTACAGTGGCATCACAGCTCACAGCAAACTCCAGCTCCTAGGCTCAGGCAATTCTCCCACCTCAGCCTCCTGAGTGCTGGGACTATAGGCGCCTGCCACAACAGCCGGCTTTTTTTTTTTTTGCCACAGTCTAGCTGGGGCCGGGCTCAAACCCATCACCCCTGGTACATGGGGCTGGTGTCCTACCCACTGAACCACAGGTGCCGCCCTGAAATTATTATTATTATTTTTTCCCAGTTTTTTTGGCCAGGGCTGGGCCTGAACCTGCCACCCTTGGTACATGGGGCCGGTGCCCTAACCCCTGAGCCACAGTCACTGCCCTGAAATTATTATTATTATTTTTTCCCAGTTTTTTTGGCCGGGGCTGGGCCTGAACCCACCACCTCTGGCATATGGGGCCGGCACCCTACTGCTTTGAGCCACAGGCACTGCCCCGCCCTGAAATTATTTTTAACCATTGGTTTTTAGAGCAGTCTGTGAGCCCTGAATAGTGTGAAGTTGTTCTGATGGCTCAAAGCCTTATGCACCCTAAGAGGGTGAGATACTCTAAAACAGGGGTCCTCAAACTTTTTAAACAGGGGGCCAGTTCACTGTCCCTCAGACTGTTGGGGGGCCGGACTGTGGGCCCTGGGACGAGTCGGCTGCTAAGCAGGACAGACAGCGCTGGCAAAAACACCCAGCGGGCCGGATAAATGTCCTAGGCAGGCTGCATGTGGCCTGCGGGCTGTAGTTTGGGGACGCCTGCTCTAAAATCACAGGGAGGTGGTTTTTGTTTTTTATTTTTTAAGGCAGAAATGGATCTGTTTATTCTGATTGACTTTCCAGGTGCACCTGGTACATTCTAGTCTCACTTGTTCTTCCCTTATTTCCCAAATTAGGAGGTATAAATTTAATTATACATAGACTGGTTTATAGTATTAATTATTAACTAGTTAGTATCATCATCAACATTTTATGTGAAGAGTCATATGATAATTCATGGAAAGTATTCTTTTTTGTCAGTATTATCAGACTTCATAAGTCTGCTAGTGGTATCGATTTCTTATGTGGTATTTAGCTTAAGAGAAAAACCCTTAATTTCATCTTTCAGTCTTTCCTCAATGACTCCATTTCCCATAGTACATGGCAATTAACAACCAATTTCCTTGAACACAGAATACATACTTTCACACACTTTAATTCTCAACGCACAATTAAGAAATGCTAATTGAAATGTACCAGAATCAGACTTTCCTCCTTGATTTCCCTGTGTCCAACCTCTCCCCCATCCCCAACTTCTTGCCATTGGGGCGAAAGAAATCTTTCTTTTGCTATTTGACTAACCTTTAGTTGTGATCTGCGTGTTTTTCTGTTTTTTCCTTAGGATGACTGCCTTTTAAAGGTATGGTACAATGTAGAAAACTGGCGGACCACTGTTACCTCTCCAGATAGAAGTTCAGAAAACCAATCCCAAGGAGAAATTGACTTTTCTTTTGTTTATCTGGCCCATCCTCGAGCCGTAAATGGATTTTCTTGGCGTAAAACCAGCAAATATATGCCTCGGTCAGTGGTTTGGTTATTTTTTCTCATGTTTTAGGGAACACTGTCTTTGTGACTTTGATTGCTTTTCTTACTTTAAGAATTTGTAGGCTCGGCGCCTGTGGCTCAAG